ACACAAGGTCAGCAGTGTGACTGCTGCCACCAAGGATGTAAGTACAGACATCACTACATTTTTCCACTTGCCAAAAGTCTTATTAAACCAATCTTCAATGTAACTAGCAATATGAGAAGCTGAAGCCATTGAATGATTAATTGATTATTGAAAATTGCTAGCGATTAGTTTTCTGTCGGGTAATTCATCATTTCAATCCTGACTTGTATTTAAATAAAGTTTGCAAACATGTGCTGTTTCTGTTTGTCTTTCAGGGAGTGCTGTTCCCTGTAATGAATCCGTGGTTTGTGATGACGGAAGCACCTGCTGTAAATTGCCAGCGGGAACATGGACCTGTTGTCCTTTACCTGAGGTACCAGCACACTGCTGTGTGTGAGATGCTGAGACAGACGGATGATGTTTGACTCTGTCCAACTGCACAGAGTTGCTCCACATGTTTCTTTGCTTGTAATTCATCTCTTGTCTTCAGTGCTTTGCCACTTGTCAGCAGCCTTTACAAATGGTCTCTCTCCTGATGGAAAATCTCGTTGTGGTTCAGTAGCAGCACTCATCTGAGCATGTTCAACATGATTAATGCAAACTTTTATTCATTCTTGGCACATATTCTAGTTTCACTGTCCATTAATGGAGGACAGGCTGCACAAGGAGGCTGGTTTTCCCGTACAGATATTATTTCTTTGGTTGCTAAATAATCAGTACAATCATCCTCCCCTGGGCAAAGTCTGTAATTTAAAGGAAAATAAGTTAACACAGCTCCTGCAGCAAACTGGCCACTTCAACATGAAAGTCAGCATCTGAAGTTCACAGAGCAACATCTGGATAAGAAACTAGAGATGTGGACAGGTGCAATTAAAACTGACCTAAAGTGTGATGGAAAAATGGAGCAGCAAAAAGTCAACAGCATGTGAGTTGTCCAAAGCTTTGTGTACAGTGCAGATGAGTCAGCATTGGTTGTGTCTCCTCCCTGTAGGCCGTGTGCTGTGAGGACCACCTGCACTGCTGTCCCCATGGTACCATTTGTAACCTGGCAGCCTTCACATGTGATTATGCTACAGGCAACGCTTTGGTGCCCTGGCTTGCCAACACACCCGTCTTCCCCTTACTGACTGACAACAACAAGTGTGATGAATCCACATCATGCCCTGGAAGCTCCACCTGCTGCAAGACGGCAGGTGGAACCTGGGCCTGCTGTCCTCTGCCTCAGGTAATGTGGGAGTGGAGTGGATGGAGTTCAGCAGCACCCAGTGTCTGGGTGTTTAACGTGCTTTGGTTTTTGGCTACAAAGCTTCCTGACACAATAAAACATGCAGGTAACACATACTCTCCTGGTCCCTCTCAGGCTGTTTGCTGTGACGACCGCATCCACTGCTGCCCTTACGGCACCGTGTGCAACCTGGAGGCTAAAACGTGTGACAACCCGACTGGTTCCCCAGCGGCCATCCCCTGGCTGGAAAAAGTCTCTGCTCTGACCGTTTCAGATGAGAAGTGCGACCAGCAGACCATATGTCCGAGAGGCTCCACCTGCTGTAGGAGCAACTCTGGACAGTGGGCCTGCTGCCCCTTACCTCAGGTCTGTGTCTTTCTCTTCACAGTCAAAGGGCTAGTTGTGCACAGGTGTTGGTCAGAGGACACCGGTGTGTTTGAGGGTCTGTCTGTTCTTGTTCACCATCAGCAACACACCACCATCATTTAACACATTTTCTGCCATAACCTGGCCTACAATGAAGATAGATCCCTGAAATGTTCAGGTAAGCTGCACAGTATAACTGCCTGTCATGCTCTAAAAGATGGTCCAGATCCAATCCGGGTCAAGGATTTTAGAACACATTTTGTGTTCTTCTGGATCTCATTTCTCACATTGCATGAGTGAATGTTGTGCCTTGCCAGAGATACATGTGCTGTTGTCTTCTCTCTGTGGTGACTGGTGGCCTTTTGCAGTGCAGGTTGGAATAATGTCTAAATATTTCCAAGTTGGGTCAGTGTGAGGTTTGTCTTTCCTGTTTTTCCTTCTCTGCCGATGGGAAGCAGTCGATCAAAGGTGTGAATCATCCTGCATTCATGCATACGCTCGCCAAAGCTTGTGGCTTTTATTCCAAGTCATCCATCATACTAAACTGAGTGAAAAAGCAGGGTTACTCAGAAACACAGCTTAAATGATTAAGTCTGACGGCCATAACTTAAATCCACAGTATCATTAGATCATTCAGTGGAGTGTGAATGAGAATTCACAGCAGGGACACTTGGTCTGCGCTACCTTCCAACTTCACAACTTTATTATACAGTTTGTTTAAATGATGGCTTACACAGGAACAATAAATCAGCTTTAAGTTAATGGCTAATCGATTATTAGATTTATGAGTTTTTTTTTCCCCCAAGCAGAAAAACACAACTGTTATAGGTTCTCTATGGGAGAATGTGCTGCTGGTATTGACCTTACATTATATTGAATTGAATATCTTGGCACTTTATACTGTTAGTCGGACAAAACAAGATATTTGAAGAGATCACCTTTGAGTTCTTTCAGTGTTCTCTAGTATTTTATAAACCAGTTAAACCAAGACATAAGTGGCAGATTAATTGATTAGTCATTAGTTTAAGCCCTGTATCAGTATGTGATGGGTCTTATGCATTCAGACATAGCGGTCCAAACATAATACTTGGTATTGTCATTAGTAACTAATGAACAAAACAGATCGTGTTTTCATGCCTCCACGCTGGAGACGTTGTTTTCTGGCCAGCCCATTCTTGTGAAGATAACGTGTCAGTAATGGCTTTGGGGAATTTTTTTTCCACATGTGGCACAAACATCCACCTGGACTCAAAGGTGAACTGATTAGATTTTGGTGGTCAAAGGTCAAGGTCAGTGACCTCACGTCTGTCTCGTTCCTATGAATTTGACTGGTTGGCGGAAGCATACAACCGTGAAGAGCTAAGTCTAGTTTTAAACAAAGACTGGTGCAGCAGCACACAACATTCATTTACCTTTGTGCCATTTGTTGTATGTCAAGTTGCATAAAATCTCTTGGAAGAGAAAATCTGGCCTTTTACAAGGATTTCATTTGCTATTAAAGAGCTCTTCCATCTTGTTTTCCAGGCTGTGTGCTGTGACGATCATGAGCACTGCTGCCCCAAAGGCTACAGGTGTAATGTGGCTGAGCAGACTTGTGACAAGCCTGGAGGCCTGAGCCTGCCCTGGCTGCAGAAGGAGCCCAGCCAGGCTGTGTCCAGTCCAGGTCGGCCAGCCGGGACCAGGTGTGACACCCAGACCAGCTGCCCAAAGGATACCACCTGCTGCTTCATGGACAAGAGCCACCCG